ACTCCTCTGCCTTTAGGGGAGAGCTGAGGAGCTCCACGCCCTGGTGAAGGGGCCTGAGGAGTCAGAGGTGGCCTCCTATGGTGTTGCCCCACAGTGCAGACCTGGAAGGGAGGCTGAGAGTGGCTCTTGCCTAGCATGGTCCCTCGGCAAATGGTCCTGGATGACAAAATCGCAAGGTCGTGTCTCTTACCTGCCAGCAGGTACATGTCAGCCCCACTGCCTCCCTGTAGCCCCCAAGGTTACTGCCAACCCCCAGGGTTGGGAAGCAGGTGCCATCACTAGGCCCATTTGACAGATTGCAGCACAGTGACCATCACCACAACAGATGGAGAGTGACCTCTCCCAGCACCTAGTGCCAGGCCCTCTTCCGAGGGCTTCCATTTGCTTATCCATTTAATCCCCAGCCAGCCCCCTGAAGGGGGTACTGTTATGATCTCAACTGTATGGAAGAGGAAACAGACCCAGAAGGCTCGCCCGAGGCCACAGCCGGGAAGTGATGGAATTGAGGTTGGAGCCCCAGCTTCCAGGCCCCATCGTTGGAGTCTCAATGTCAGAGCCAGAGCAGTGGTTACACCTCTGCCAACCTGTGCCCTGGGGTGGGGTTGGGGGTGTTACTTTCCCCAGGAGCCAGAACAGGGCTTCACACAGAGCAGGGACAGTGAGCACTAGAAACCAGTTTTCTGGGCGGGGCACCGTGGCTCACACCTGTAATCCCAACACTTTGGGAAGCTGAGGTGGGTGGATCACCTGAGGTCAGGAATGCAAGACCAGCCTGGCCAACATGGTGAGACCCTGCCTCTACTAAAAATACAAAAAAATTAGCTGGACGTGGTGGCACATGCCTGTAATCCCAGCTACTCAGGAGGCTGAGGCAGGAGAATTACCTGAACCTGGGAGGCAGAGATTGCAATGAGCCAAGATTGCACCACAGCCTGGTGACAAGAGCAAAACTCCATCTCAAAAAAAGAAAAAAATAATAAAGAAAAGAAGCCGGTTTTCTGATAGGCCATCAGGGTGGTCAGTCAATAGTCAGCAGTGACCACATTTGGGGCCACCCCAGACACACCATTCTGGGGCCAGCCCCATGCCCGTCTTGCAGTTTAGGGCCACATGAATGCTCACCACCATTATCTCCCAGAGAAATCCTGGGCCAGTGTTACTGTCCCTGTGTGTGGACGACCGCCCAGGGTCACTTGGCTACAGGGGAAACGTGGAACTTGCTGGGAGCTGACCCAAGAGGGGAGGGAGGTCTCAGAGGTGGTGACAGAGAGCAGCCAGGCCTTCTAGGCCAAGAACACAGTTCACCCTTTCCCTTCCGCCCAGAGCCCCCAGGTGTACCAGGGCCAGGACTTTGCCTGCCCAAGCAGCTGCCCCAGGAGCCTCGTGTCCCGAGGTGCCCCATACCTGAGCAGAGGCCACCCTGAGAACAGGGTCTCCTGGCAACCCTGGGGTGCGGTGGTGCCCCAGAGCCTGCTGGACCATGCCCTCAGACCCCATGCTGCCCTGCCAGAGGAGCTGTCCTCTAATTGGGTGGGATGGGCTATGACAGGAAATGCAAATCTGGGTCATCCATATGCATGTGAGTAGCTGGAGCCCTAGCCGCCTCCACCCACATCAACGGGGAGCTTCCACCCTGCTGTGGAGCTGCACACTGTGGCCTCCCAGGACATGTTGGAAACCTCGGCCACACTCCCACTAGTCAGAGTGAGAAGCCCGGTTTTCCCAGGGCAAAGACCCTCAGGGATCACTTTCTCCAAACTCTTCACTGTACCTGGAGGAAACTGAGGCCCAAGAGGGGAGGGAGCCTACCCCCGTCACCAGCAGTGCAGCTGGCTCTCCGTCCGACCGGGAGTTCCAGCCTGTGTCCTGGTTTGCGAGGTGGTATTCGTAACCCTTGCTTCATGAAGCTGTTAGGAGTTTGGAGTCACAGAGCTGTCTAAGCAGCTCGAAACTGGCACATAGTAGGCGTCTGATGTACAACACCTGCTGGTTATTTTTGTGAGTATGGGCAATTCCTCTAAGCATTCAGAAAGCCACCCTGGCTGTTTCTCAGGGTATGTGATTTCAGCTGCATTCCTAGAGGTGACAGCGGCTGAGTCACAGAATCCCACTGTGTACCAGGCCGTGTTGAGCACATTCCATGGGTCATTCCACAAACATGCTCCCAGCGCGGTTGCTCCGGGCAGATCAGAGCCTCAGTACAGGGGACATGGAGGGGAGTAGACAGGGCCCCCTTCTGAAGAGGCCGGTGGCAGGGCATGGGCGGGGCTCAGGTGACTGAAAGAATGGAGGCTGGAGCAGGAAGCGGCAGGCCTGGCTGGTCAGGGGATCTTGAGCGAAAAGCCGAGGAGGGGTCTGAGCTGAGAGCCCACCCGATATGGAGCAAGGGCTTGGGCAACATAGTCTCCAGTCCTGGGGTCACACCCCAGCTCTGCCATCCTTGGCTGCCTGATCAGAACAGGTCACTGCTACTCCTCCAAGCCTCCTATTCCTGAAATGGGGACAGCACTAGGGCCGACTCACAAGGTTGTTCTGAGGACCCAGAGAGCTGGCGCGTGGGCAGAGTCTGCACAGAGTCCAGCATGCAGTAGGCACTCAGGGATGCCTGCTCTTCTTAGGTGGGCGCTCCATGTACAGGCGTGAAGTGTTTACCCGACAGACATTGGCATGGGGTGGATAAAATCATCATCTTCCTCCTCCAGCAGCCCTCCAGATCAGGTCCCTTCGCAGGACCCACTGTGGGAGGTGATTAGGCCTCAAGGCTTCAAAGCCAAGGCTCCAGCCCTCCCCTTGCTGTGTGCTGTGAGGTTTGGACTCCCATTACCCACTCCTACAGGAGGCTGTTCTGTAGAGCTCCTAGAAGAGAGCTCTACAGAACAGCTCTCTTCTACAAATCTAGAAGAGACATTTTCTTTGAGATGGAGTCTCACTCTGTCACCCAGTCTGGAGCGCAATGGCATCATCCGGCCAACTGCAACCTCCGTCTCCCAGGTTCAAGCAATTCTCCTGCCTCAGCCTCCCGAGTAGATGGGATTTATAGGCATGCACCACCACACCCGGCTAATTTTTGTAAAAATACAAAAATTAGTTGGCCAGGCAGGTCTCAAACTCCTGACCACAAGTGATTTGCCTGCCTCAGCCTCCCAAAGTGCTGGGATTACAGGCATGAGCCACCATGACTGGCCTGGAAGACACATTTTCACTTTACTTTCCCCCCTGCTTTTCTAGTGACTTTCTGTTACTCATTATGTCATGATTTAGGGTCCCAGAGTAGGGATCCCCATATAACCAGGTTCCCCTCTGGCACCCTGGGAGAAGGGGAGAGGAGAAATAGATGCAGCCAGCTCAGACCTGCCCAGGAAACGCCCCCACTCCACAGCTGCCCCAGGCTGAGACCCAGGTAGTCTGGCCGCAGTTCCTGGTGTGGTTCCCAGTGGGGAAGCAGCCGGCAGAAGCGCCAGTCCTGTAGTTCTCGGTTTGGTCTTGTGCTTCCGCCTGCGTGCTGACTCTAACGACGCCCTAGTGCAGCTCCCAGCTCTGTGTGACCCTCAGCAAAGACCCGTTTCATGCTGGAAAGTTCAGCTGCTTGTTCCTGCTTCCATGGGGGGGTGGCATGGAGCCGGGTGATGTGGGCACAGCTGGCCCCTCTGGGCGTCAGTTTACTCATCAGGCAAATGAAGATATAGCAGGCCCACCTCACCAGGGACAGCCCAGGGATGTGGCATCCTCTCCCCTGTCTGTCTCCTCCTTCCCCAGCCCAGTGTTGGCTCCCCCTCCTGCCTTTTCCCAAGAGCTCACAGCACAGGTGTCACAGCCTGGAAGAGACATCTTCACTTCACTTCCCCCTGCTTTCCCAGTGACTTCCTATTACTCATTAAGTCATGATTCAGGGTCCCAGAATAGGGATCCCCACATAACCAGGTTCCCCTTTGGCACCCTGGGAGAAGGGCAGAGGAGAAGTGAATGCAGCCAGCTCAGACCTGCCCAGGAAATGCACCCCCGCTCTGCAGCCGCCCCATGTGCCTGCTGAGCACTGTGGCCTCACCTGGAGGTTTCTTCCCGGGGCAGGTTCTAGTGCAGGATCACGTGTCCTAGCTCTGGGTCCTGCAGAGTCCTCGTGGAGCTCTGGTTTCTTCATGGTGCCCTAAAAAGGGCAGTTTATCTAAAGGATGGGCTCAGAGTGTAAGGCTACACATTTTTTTTGGTGGGGGAGACAAAGTCTCACTCCACCCAGGCTAGAGTGCAGTGGCATGATCTCTGCTCACTGCAACCTCCACTTCCTGGCTTCAAGTGATTCTCGTGCCTCGGCCACCTAAGTAGCTGGTATTATAGGCATGTGCCACCACACCCAGCTAATGTTTGTATTTTTAGTGGAGACAGGGTTTTGCCATGTTGGTCAGGCTGGTCTTGAACTTCTGACCTCAAGTGATCTACCCGCCTCAGCCTCCCAAAGTGTTGGGATTACAGGCATGAGCCACCACATCTGCCAAGGCTACAGATGTTAACCTGGGTTTTCTTGTCTGACGTGGGGAATGGGCGCCCCAGGACGGGAACTTGCCATTTCTTACGATGATTTGGGGCATTTTGCATGATGGCCACAGGCCAGGGAGACCTGAGCTGCACTCACCTTGCTGGGCCCCAACTTGGGCATTAAAGATTCAGGAGTGGATGAGATGGGCAAGGCCCCTGGTCCCACAAAGCTAGACCCGGGGATGGGACTCGGAGGCAGCAAACAAGCAGTCAGATAAGGAAGGTGGTGATGAGGGCAGTGGGGAGCGTGAACAGCCTCGGTTTTTCACCTGCGCTGGGGTCCTTGAGGGGAACCAGGAACCCTGCACAGAGAGAGCCCCCAGGGGGAGTCTGGGAGGCTCTGAAAGTAGGGTTGGCAGCAGAGTCCCTCCTTCACCTTAGTGGGTGCTGTTGGGGTACTGGGGTTCTAGGGGTCCCAGGCCTCTGCTCCAGCCTGGCTGCTCACAGAGGCCCTCTGTCCCCGCCTCCAGAGACACCCCAACACCCTGTCTTTTCGCTGCTCGCTGGCGGACTTCCAGATCGAAAAGAAGATAGGCCGAGGACAGTTCAGCGAGGTGTACAAGGCCACCTGCCTGCTGGACAGGAAGACGGTGGCTCTGAAGAAGGTGCAGGTGAGCTGACCGCGCGGGCTCAAACCTGCACCACGGGAGGCTGCCTCTGCATCTGGATGGTGGGGGCAGGGCCGGGCCAGTCTCTTCCCTCCCATCCCCTCCTCTGTGAATGAGGGAAACAGCATCCAGCTTGCTGGGTTACAGAGAGAATCAGGTGGATGCCTGTTGAGGAATGCTCACTGCGAACCACAAAGGGAAAAAAACGAGCATGCATTGAGCGCCTGCTGTGTACTGGGTCATGCAAGGAGCACATGGAACCTGACAACAGTCCTGTGGGTGGGGATTATCATCTCATCTCTCAGATGAGGAAAACAGTGCAGAGACCTCATAACCCACCAGGGCCCCAGCATGAGTCATGGGGGAGCTGAGGTTCAGACCGCGTCCATAAATCCTTGTGCCTGCACACGCTCCACAGTTCTGGGCTTCTGCCCTCTGCGTTCCTCCTAAATGGAGGCAGTAGGTGAAGCGGCAAAGTCAGGACAGGAGGCACGTCCACAAGAGCCGCCAGGCCCGTCTCAGCATGGCTTTGCCAGAGGAAATGGCTTTAAATCCTCCAGCAAAGCTTCCCAAGCCCCTGGATTTGCTCACTAGTCCTTAAAGAATGAGGTTGAGAGCCTGGGCAGAGGAGGCCCGGGGGAGAGGACAGGGCTGGGAGAAGGGGAGAGAGAACCACGGGCAGCCTGAGGGCGCTGGAAAAAAGGACCAGTTTCTCTCTTGATCTTTCTTTTATTTTGAGACAGAGTCTTACTCTATCACCCAGGCTGGCGTGCAATGGCCTGATCGGCTCACTGCAACCTTGCCTCCCCGGTTCAAGCAATTCTCCTGCCTCAGCCTCCTGAGTAGCTGGGACTACATGCACGTACTACCTACCCAGCTACTTTTTGTATTTTTAGTAGAGATGGAGTTTCACCATGTTGGCCAGGCTGGTCTCAAACTCCTGACCTAATGTGTTCCGCCCACCTTAGCCTCCCAAAATGCTGGGATTAAGGTGTGAGTCACCGTGCCCAGCCCTCTCTCTTGATATTCTGAGCAGGGGCTCACATGGGCTCACATGGGCTCTCTGTCTTGGTTCTTTAGTCCCACGATGGGTTTCTGGTGGGACAGTGCTGGGGGGCCCACAGTGAGCAAGCCCTATGGGGGCTGGAGGTACAGGGGGGTCACGGTGTCCCTCGGTGAGGAGTTGGGAGAGCCGGCACTACGAAATCAGGGTACTGGACACAGATTTTAACCACTCTGTTTCTCTTTTCCTCCCACCCAAGATCTTTGAGATGATGGACGCCAAGGCGAGGCAGGACTGCGTCAAGGAGATTGGCCTCCTGAAGGTGAGCGCCTGGGACCTCACCTCCTCCAGGAGGTTCGGGGGCCCTCACCATGCCCATCACAGCCCTTGGGTGCCAGGGACCTGCAGCCCTTGCTGAGTTCACAGATGGTGGCTTTCTGGGGTCAGCAGCTGGCCAGTTTTCTCATGGCCAGGCAGGAGCGGCCCCTGCCTCATTGCTCTGCCCAGCCCTCAGGGTTGCTGCCTACACACTTCTCTCTTGGCTGCTCGCCCCTCCTGCTTGTACATGGCGGTACCTGGCACAGAAGTCCTTCCCGCCAGGGCACCCCTGACCCTGCCTTGCTGTGGCCTATGAACCAGGCTTGGCCAGGGGAGGAGTTGACAGCGGGGGCCACTTCCAGACTGCAGCTTGTCTGGCTCCACCTCTATCTCCATATCTGTCTCCATCTTTTTCTCTTTGTCATCTTTCCTTCTCTCCTCTCAGCCTTTTTCTTTGTTTTTCTGTTTTTTTAAGAGGCAAAGTCTGTTGAATGGACTGGAGTGTGGTGGCATGGTCACAGCTCACTGCGGCCTCAAACTCCTAGGCTCAAGCAGTCCCCCACTTCAGTCTCCAAGTAGCTGGGACCACTGGTGCACACCACCACAGCTGGCTCATTTTTATTTTTTATTTCTATTTTTATTGATTTATTTGAGATGGAATTTTGCTCTTGTCACCCAGGCTGCAGTGCAATGGCACAATCTTGGTTCACTGCAACCTCCACCTCCTGGGTTGAAGCAGTTCTCCTGCCTCAGCCTCCTGAATAGTTGGCATTACAGGTGCCTGCCATCACACCCAGCTAATTTTTGTATTTTTAGTAGAGACAGGGTTTCACCATGTTGGCCAGGCTGGTCTTGAACTCCTGACCTCAGGTGATCCACCCACCTCAGCCTCCCAAAGTGCTGAGATTACAGGCATGAGCCACCATGCCCAGCCAAATTTTTAAATTTTTTATAGAGACAAGGTCTCATTATATTGCTCAGGCTGGTCTCGAATTCCTGAGGCCTCAAGCAGTCCTCTCATCTCAGCCTCCCAAAGTGCTAGGATTATGGGTGGAAGCCACTGTGCCCAGCCCCCTGTGAAACATAGAGGGTTTGCTTGGCAGTTTCCAGCAAAGTAGGGCTGCTCTTGGCAGGGACGCCCGCCAAAACCACAGCTGCAGAATTTCAGATGAGCGATTTATCCTGCCACACCCTGCCCTGTGCTCTGAGGCCTTGGCCGTGCCCTTGGGGACTTCCAGGCTGGTGGGGAAGCAGGTGGGAAGCAGATGGTGACCTTCCAGGGTGAGGCAGATTAACTGGTGGGCCGGGAGCCCAGGGGGAACCCGCTTCCTGGGCAAGCCCCACAGAGGCTGGGGCACCGTCCCAGAACCTGATTCAGGGCACTTCAGTGGTGTGGATTATGGGAGGTGGGGGAGACAGAAGGGTGGACGTGGCAGCAGGGCCAGATACACACTCAGAACAAAAGGGGAGCCACTGAAGGGGCTGCGGGCGTGGGGGACGTGGCTGGGTGTGAGTTGTAAGTGCCTGTTCTGATGGCTCCCGGCCACAATGGGTGATGGAGTCAAGGCTGGAGGCAAGAGGTATCCTTATTTCTAACTATTATATGTCAAAAAATACTCCTCGAGAACATTGTTTGAATGTTTAAGTCGTGGTCAGCTTGCTGCCACTTCCCCAGCCTGAGGAATGGTTGTCCTGATCACCAGGTGCTCCCTCACCTCATGTGCCCGTCTCCCCAAGAGAAGGAGCCCCACAGGGAGCATGCTGAGCACAGCCTGATCTGCTCCCTGGTCACACAGATGCACCACTGCAGCCCCCTGTCTGGCAGTAGCCTTGCCTGGCGTCAGCCCACCTGGCTGGGGAGGGGATTCTGCCCCTTCCCCAGGGCTGCCCTGCAGCTAAGGGCATCAAGCCTGGGTTTCAGAGGACACATCCCTCACTCACTAGCTGTGTGGCTGTGGGCCAGCTGTGGGCCTCTCAGGACCTCAGTTTCCTCATCTGTAAAAGGGGCGTGATGATAACAGGGGCTCCGGAGGAGTCAGTGAGGAAACGCGTCTCATGAGCTCGGGGCAGCGCTGGTGTGTGGTGCGCTCACAGCCCGCTTAAGGCAGCCTGGTCGTCATGGTCACTACCTTTGCCTGCCAATGCCAGCCGCATTCCAGAACACCAGTCCCAGTTCCCGGGTAGCCCATGGGAAGTCAACAGGATGTGCCAGGGCATGAGGTGCTTCCTACAAAACAGAAGGAAATGTGGTTCTCAGAGGGGCGACCGGGTGACATCACTTATTTGTGCCAAGAACCCAAACCCAAAACCTCCCAAATGCAGGGGCTGGTGGGGTCGGCAGCTGCCAAGCGTGGGACAAGAGGGCAGGTCCTGTTGGAACGCAGGCATGTGTTCGTTCATTCCGTGCAATTTCTGAGCACCACTGAATGCTGACACCAGGATGCAGCCCAGTGGGGAAGACAGATCATAGACAGACACATTCTTTGTTACATCCGGGAGGGCCTGGAGCTTGGGAGCAGAGCCCCTGATGGCAGAGATCCAAAGGACAGGGACCCTTACCCTCAGCTCTCCCTCCCTTCTCTTTGGCCACCACCACAACCAGACAAAGCCCAACCACATGCATCTCTGTAGCATCTTCCCTGTTTCTGGCCCGAGTGTGTCCCCTTCCAGACCCACCTGGGCCCACCAAGAGGCCACAGGTTGAGAAGTGGACTCTGTGTAGACCAGGGTCTGGGGTCACTGGACCAGGTTCTAGACTCAGCTCAGCCCCTGCTTGCTGTAGACCCATGGCTGATCCCTTCCCCTCTCTGGGCTTTGGGGATTTAGCCCAATGGACATCCTGAGCCCCTTTCTGCCTGTGCCTCTGTACTTTACCTGGGCATAAGGAGCCCTTCCCCCTGTCCTCAGACCTGCAAGGAGACAAGGGAGGAGCCTCCCTCCTCCCCTTCCCAGGAACCAGCACCTCCTTGACGGGGCTTTACTCCCCCCCCAACCCCTCTCATTTCTCCCTTGAAGAACCTGACATGCCTGGACTGCTGGTGACCTGGGTGGTTTTTGAGGAGTCCTCCCAGAGAGGGTGTGAGATTTCCTGGTGACATAATGAGGTGAAGTTCAAGAGGAGGGTGCAGGAGCAGGGTGTTCCTGTTTATCCTAGTAGCAACCTGCATGATCCATAGGACGTGCCTTAGAGATCTGGGAGCTCTTTCAGCTTGCCATTCACTTGCTTTGTCACTTTCGTTTGGTAACTGGAAAGCACGTCTGGAGCGTGATGTGTGCTGAGGGCGGTGCTGTGATGGCCAGTGTTTGCGTGAGATGGCCTTCTCAACACAAAATCTGGGCAAGAGGATTTTCTTTTTTTTTTTTGGTACAGGATCTCGCTCTGTCACCCAGGCTGGAGTGCAGTGGTGCGATCTCAGCTCACTGCAGCCTCCGAGCAGCCGGAATAACAGCGGTACACCACCATACCCAGCTAATTTTTGTAGAGGTGGGGTTTCACCATGTTGGCCAGGCTGGTCTTGAACTCCTGACCTCGGGTGATCCGCCCGCCTCAGCCTCCCAAAGTGCTGGGATTACAGGTGTGACCACCATGTCCAGCCCCCATTCTTTTTCACATTTCAATTTTTCTTTTAGATTCAGAGGGTCCACGTGCAGGTTTGATACAAGAGTATATGGTGTGATGCTGAGATTTGGGCTTCTGCTGATCCCATCACTCAGATAGTGAGCATCATTCGCAATAGGAAGTTTTATAGCCCTTGCCTCACTCCCCACCCCCGCGTGTAGTGCTCACTGTCTGCTGTTCCCATCTTTATGTCCGTGTGTACCCAAGATTCAGCTCCCACTTACAGAAATGAGAACATGCAGTATAGCTTTGCATAGCTTTGTTTCTGTGTTAATTCTCTTTGGATAATGGCCTCCTGCTGCATCCATGGTGCTGCAAAAGACATGATTTTATTCTTTGTAGTGGCTGCATAGTATTCCGTGGTGTATACGTACCACATTTTCTTTATCCAGTTCACCATTTCTGGGCACCTAAATTGATTCGTGTCTTTGCTATTGTAAATAATGCTGTGATGAATGCAAAAGTGTGTGTGTGTGTGTGTGTGTGTGTGTGTGTGTGTGTGTGTGTTTTGGTAGAACAATTTATATTCCTTCGGATATATGCCCAGCAATGGGATTGCTGTATCAAATGCTATTTCTATTTTTAGTTATTTGAGAAATTTCCAGATTTGTTCCACAGTGTCTGAAGTAATTTACATTCCTACCAATAGCACATACGTGTTCCCTTTTCTTTGCAGCCTCGCCAACATCTGCTAGCTTTTGACTTTTCAATAATTGCCATTCTGACTGTTGTGAGATGGCATCTCATTGTAATGGTGGGTTTTTTTTTTTTTTTTTTTTTTAGAATGGGTCACACCCCGTCACCTAAGCTGGAGTGCAGTGGTATGATCACAGCTCACTGCAGCCTCGGCCTCCCAGGATCAAGCAGTCTTCCCACTTTACCCTCCAGAGTAGCTGAGGCTGCAGGTCTGTACCACGAGGCCCAGCTAATTTTTTTTTTTCTAATGACAGGGTCTCACTATGTTGCCCAGGGTGTTCTCAAACTCCTGGGCTCAAGCAGTCCTCTCACTTCAGTCTCCTGAAGTGCTGGCATTACAGGCAGGAGCCCCTGCACCTGGCCAGCTGTGGTTTTGGTTTGTATTTCTCTGATGATTAGTGGTGTTGGGCATTTTTTTGTGTTTGTTAGTTGCTTGTATGTCTTATTTTTTTTTTTTTTTTTTTTTTTTTTAATTTTTTATTGGATTATAGGTTTTGGGGTACATGAGCAGAGCATGCAAGACAGTTGCGTAGGTACACACATGGCAGTGTGCTTTGCTTTTCTTCTCCCCTTCACCCACATTTGGCATTTCTCCCCAGGCTATCCCTCCCCACCTCCCCCTCCCACTGGCCCTCCCCTTTTCCCCCCAATAGACCCCAGTGTTTAGTACTCCCCTTTCTGTGTCCATGTGTTCTCATTTTTCATCACCCACCTATGAGTGAGAATATGCGGTGTTTCATTTTCTGTTCTTGTGTCAGTTTGCGCTTGTATGTCTTCTTTTAAAGAATTCTCTGTTCATGTCCACTGCCCACTTTTAATTTTTATTATTTATTTATTTAGGGACCAAGTCTCACTCTGGCACCCAGGCTGGAGTGCAGTGGCGCTATCTCAGCTTACTGCAACCTCCACCTTCCAGGTTCAAGTGATTTCTGCCTCAGCCTCCCGAGTTTGATTGGTGATTACAGGCGCCCATCACCACGCCTGGCTAATTTTTGTATTTTTAGTAGAGATGGGGTTTCACCAGGTTGGCCAGGCTGGTCTTGAACTGCTGACTCAAGTGATCCACCTGCCTCAGCCTCCCAAAGTGCTGGGATTACAGGTGTGAGCCACCGTACCCGGCCTCCTCTGCTCACTTTTTAATGTCTTTTTTGTGTTTGTTACTGATTTAAGTTCCTTAGAGATTCTGAACATTAGTCCTCTGTCAGATGCATAGCTTGTGAATGTTTCCTCCCATTCTGTCAATTGTCTGTTTACTCCATTGATTTTTTTTTTTTTTTTTTTGCTGTGCAAAAGCTCTTTCATTTAATTAGGTCCCACTTGTCAGTTTTTGGTTTTGTTGCAATTGTTTTTAAGGACTTGGTCATAAATTCTTTGTCAAGGCTAATGTTGAGAAAGGTATTTCTTAGGTTTCTTCTAGGATTTTTATAGTTTGAGGTCTTACATTTAAGTCTTTACTCAATCTTGAGTTAATTTTTGCGTATGGTGAAAGGTAGGGGTTCTGTTTCATTCTTCTGCATATAGCTAGCCAGTTTATTGAGTAGGGAGTCCTTTCCCCATTGCTTATTTTTGTCAGCTTTGTTGAGGAACAGGTGGCTGTAGGTGTGCTGCTTTATTTCCGTGTTCTGTATTCTGTTCTGTTGGTCTATGTGTCTATTTTTGTGCCAGTACCATGCTGTTTTGGTTACCATAGGCTTGTAATATAATTTGAAATCCAGTACTGAGACGCCTCCAGGTTTGTTATTTTTGCTTGGGATTGCTTTGTGTGCCACCTTCTGAAGTCCAGTCACCCCATGTAAATTACCTACATTCGTTCCTGGCCAAGGTGCTTCCACAGGGGAGCCTGCTGCTAAGATGGCAACAGGGCTCCCTGCCAGCCACCCCTGGGAACCAGGATTGAATGTGCCACACCCGGGTCTTGAGCTGTGCCGGGTGCCTGGTTTCTCAGAGTGGTATGTGATGTTTGCTGAGCCACAGTCCTGCTGGCTGAGGGGTGGGCAAGGGCTGGCACACATACCTCAGGGCCAGACCTTTCAGACAGGCAGTGGGTGCCACAGCAGAGAGGGGTCAGTCTTTGGGGGGACCTGGAAAGAGGACGGACATGTGGGGAGGAGCCAGGGCCAGTGGCTGAGGCCGCTCTGGCCTCCCGGGACCTGACTGGGGGGGCCCGCATGGGGGGCTGTCTTGGGGAGTGAATGAATCAATGAATGGGGGCTTGCATGGCTCTGCAACATCCATCCAGGCGCCCCTCATTTCAAAATCCACGGACAGGCACAGTACATCCTCCTCCCAGCCAGTTCCGGGCCTTTGGGAAAATGTGCCCCCCGCACCCCAGCCTCTGGTTGTCAGCCAGTGCCGAGACTAGGCTGACCACACTCACACCAGGGCAGGATGTTCGAGTCCCCTCTGCTCGCCCAGATCCTGGAGCCGCTTTGGTGTACAGTCAGCTTTGTTATGAACAGATGCCGGGGGCTCCTCTTAGCCTGGCAGGGCCTGGCTTCCAGCCAGGGGGGTGCCGTTCTGTCCAGCTCCATGCTCCACCTCAGGAAACAACTCAGGCTGTGGTGCAAAGGACAGAGGCAGGGTCTTGGCACTGCACACATCAGCCAGGCGGTTCTTGCACCTCCAGGGATTTTTTTCAAGATTTCACAAGGGCCAGGCATGGCAGTGTGTGCTGCCATAGTCCCAGCTTCTCAGAAGGGTGAGGTGGGAGGATCACTTGAGCCTAGGAGTTCAGTTTCAGCCTGGGCAACATAGTGAGATCCTATCTCTACAAAAAAATATTTTTTTAAAAATGATTGCATAAGAGATGGGTCAGGAATTGAGGAAGAAAGGGCAGGACGAAGGGAGGAGACCGATCCTTCTGAGGAGCGCCTGCAGGCTGTCCATGTCTGAGCACAGGTGGCCCTGATGCCGCCCCCAGGGTCTGGGAGGTGAGGAGGACGGGGAGGAGGGTCATTTCCCCAAGTGCCTGCCTTGTCTCACGTAGCTCTGTGCAGGTGCCGTGTTATACATTTCAAGAGTATTGGCACATGTTGTCTTCACAACTATGCTTCAAAACATGATGCCAGTGTTACAGGTGAGGAATCTGACACCTGGGGATACAAAGTGGCATTCCCAGTGTCACTCAGGGCTCCCTGACTCCCCAGCACAGGCCTTTCCCTGGGCATCCAGTTCTCTAGCAAATGCCAGGGCCTCAGTGATGGTGCCAGCAGGGTGCCGGTGACAGGCAGGTGCTGAGTCTGTCCCGTCTTCACTGGCACCCTTCCCTCTGTCTCTCCTCATGCAGCAACTGAACCACCCAAATATCATCAAGTATTTGGACTCATTTATTGAAGACAATGAGCTGAACATCGTGCTGGAGTTGGCCGATGCAGGGGATCTCTCGCAGATGATCAAGGTGAGCACCTGGCAGGGTGAGGGCGCTGGGGCTGCGCAGATCCAGAGCCAAAGGGGGCAGTCTGTCTTCACTCCAATCCTGTGGTACTCTGGCCTCAGCTGGAGGTGGCTGCCCAGGGACCCTGGGCCCCCCTGACGAATGCCCACAGGCCTCAGCTTTGGTCTGGTGAGGGACTCTCGGGCTCTGTCCCCCACTGCCGTTGCTGGAGGCCTCTTTCGGCCTCAGGGAAGCTCAGCTCAAAAGAGCCCATGTGCAAAAAGCAAGGCGAAGGTGACGCTAAGACAGGATGGTGGCTGGGAGGGGGCCAGCCGTGGGCAGAAGGAATCCCTCTGGCCACCCTCAGTGCCCCAGCCTACCACAGGCACGTGGGCCACTTCTTCTGCCTCACAGAAGGAGCAGGGCCAGTCCCCCATTTGGTCAGACCTCAGTTTTTGGGAAAGCACCTTGTAGATCCCACTGCCTCATTTTACAGAAAGGGAAAACTGAGCCCAGAGAGGTTTAGAGACTTGCCTGAGGATGCCCAGCATTGTGGAGAAAGAGCCATGCCTGTGGCCCAGGCTTTTTCTGGCCTGGGACTCTGGTGGACGTGGTCCCAAGATGCCCTCCCCAAGCCCTAGAGGGGACACTTCATTTCCATGTCACAGCCGATGCTCAGGCCTGGGGTCTTCAAGAGGTTGAGTGACCAGCTGAGTCACACAGGCAGGCTTAGCGCCAGGACTGGCTCGTGCTCTGCACCCCACATACCTCTCCCCCCTGACTCATCCCACCGCCCAGGGCACAGGGCCGGGTCTACCATTAGTCGGGTGTTCAGGACCACTGCAGCTTCAATGAAAGGGCAGCACTGGCTGGGTGTGGTGGCTTCCACCTGTAATCCCAGCACTTTTGAAGCCAAGGTGGGCGGATCACGAGGTCAGGAGATGAAGACAGTCCTGGCTAACATGGTGAAACCCCGTCTGTACTAAAAATCAAAAAGTTAGCCAGGCATGGTGGTGCACGCCTGTGGTCCCAGCTACTTGGGAGGCTGAGGCAGGAGAATTGCTTGAACTCTGGAGGTGGAGGTTGCAGTAAGCTGAGATTGCGTGACTGCTCTCCAGCCTGGTGACAGAGCAAGACTCTGTCTCAAAAAAAAAAAAAATAGCACCTCCTGCCAGTCTCCACCCAGCCCAGGATGCTTGTGCATCCCTCACGAGTCCATACTGTCCTCAGATGGCAAAGCTCAGAGAGGTCTAGACTCCTGCCCAAGGCAGCTCAGCCTCTAGCTGGAGGCCCCAGGCCTGCCTGTCCCCCAGGCCCAAGCCCTCAGCCCCTACACCCTGCTCCTGAGTGGAGGTCCTCATGTCCCCAGGGCTGCTGTGGCCCCATCACCTCTCTCCCCTGGACACAGCCTGCCTGTTCCCAGGTAAGGCTGGCCCTGCTCAAGCCCCCACCCTGCTCCCAGCCACGCTTGGAAACGGGCAGACATGGGTTCTCTATCTTTCCCATCAGGCACTGGGGACTGAGCAATTGCTCGGTGCGCTTCTAAAATTCGGCTCCTAGGAATACAGGCATCACTGGGAAGTGGCATTACTTGAGCTGTTATCACCTGCTCTTACATTTCCGTTGACATTTTAATGGCTTTGCAGGGATGTTAATCTGCACACCGATCCCTGGTGGGAACAGATGTGCTCGATCATGTCTTAGCTGTTCCTCTCCCCCGTCCCCGCTTTACTTGTTTCTCCTTCACATGTTCCCTTGCTGAACATGAAAGCACTGTGCACCCACTGTGTGCCAGCCCTCGTACCAAGAACTAGGGATGCTGCCAGCATGGCTACTACCCTCAGGGATCCTGGATTCTAACGGGAAGACAGACCCTCAAAGGATTAGTTAGGAGCCAGTTTGAACAAGCCATGTGCAGGGCCTGTGGGAGTCAGGGAAGGCTTCCTGGAGGAGGTGGCACTGAGCTGAGCCATTAGAGGAGGCAGGCTATCCAGAAGCAGGAACGGTCCAGCAGGGATGGGAGAGGGAAGGGGAGCTGAGATGGAGACCACCGGATCATGTGGGGCCTCTCGCTCCAGGCTTGGGATCTGGGACCATGCCCTAAGGTCAAAAGGCTTCTAAGATTCATGGTGGGGAGCAAACATGGTCAGCTCTGTGTTCTAGAAGAAAGACTGGAGGCCTGGTGGAAGGAGAGGTGACGGCGGGGACAGGAGGAGCAGGAGGTGAAGGAGCGGCCTCTCCTTGCTGCCTCCTAGGAACTCAGCCTGTGGAGAGGACGCCTCACTCTCTCAGCCCCAGTGGAGCCCAGACACTGTAGCCTCTCAGGCCATGAAGTAGGGCTGCAGTCAGACAGGCAGATGGGGGGCCGGGGCTGGCAGGTCTCTTCCCTGAGCCTCAGTCTCTGCCCTGTCCCCGGGAACCTCTTGGAGGAGCACTGTGGGAAACCCAGGCTGGGTACAGTCTCCTTCAACTGAGAGAGAAGAGGAGGCGTGGGGCATTCTATCCAGCATCCCTCCTCTATGCCAGGCCTGGGATGTGGGGTCTCCTCCCCAGCCAGCCTCCCCTTCCCCCTGCTCCCCTTCCTCACTTCCCTAGAGCCAACACTGTCTCAGGGTTCGTCAGTCATGAACCCAGCAGGACTGAGTCCAAGATGGGTGTGGCCTGAGTTTCTGAGCAGCACCTGGTCCCCCAAGCCTCAAATCCCTCCTCCTCACCTGGCATGGAGCCGCCTCTCACAGTTCCCCCCTCCTCCTTCCTATACCTGCCTGCTCCCGTTCCCTGCAACCTGGCTCAGGGGCCCTCACCTGCAGAGCTGGTTTGGTGGAACCCCCAGCAGTGGGGGCCTGGCAGGGGAGAGACTCACCCAAGTCAGACACATCCCCTGGATGGCCTTGGGTGGGTCCCTGTGCCTCAGTTTCCTCACTTGTGACATACCCAGCACAGTGCCTGGGACCTGGTGGGAGCTCAGTTCCCCTGGTTCTGCCTGCTCTCAGGCCACCTCTAGGTTTCCAGAGGAACAGGGGCCACCTCATGGTCACCTCACTGGCCTCAGAGGCTGCCAAGTAGCAGGGTGTGTGTCCTGAGAGCCTGTGCCATCACAGCCATGGTGCTCGAGTTATTTATGAGAAAGAGTAAAGCTAGGAGCTGCTGCGGCCCCAGAACCCACGAGAGACTCTGCGCCTCGCCGCTAAATGTCAGACAGTGCTTATAGGACGTGACATTTAGAAAATCACCACTCTCGGCCACACGCATCCTGCTTAAATGCTGTAATGAGGATTCGCTCTCATCACAGTGTGAATAACATCCCAGCCTGGCCCGCCACAGGCCTGGAGGTGGCCCAGGAGTGGGGTCTTTGCTGAGACCTGGGATGGCTCACCCGAGAGGCCCTCCCAGAAATGCGCCTCAGAACAACCTCAATGGGATTTACAGTGACGCCAGGGGCTCCCAGCTACAACTGTCCCACTGTGGGAAGCATCGAGACTTGGGTCCCAGCTGGGTGCTGGCTGACCTTGGCCATGTTCCTGAACCTCTTTGAGCTCAGTCTCCCATATCAATGGTTACTGGTGTTACTAGAAGTGAGCTAAGGGGGCCAGGCACAGTGGCTCACGCCTGTAATCCCAGCACTTTGGGAGGCCAAGGCAGGCGTGTCACCTGAGGTCAGGAGTTCAAGACCAGCCTGGCCAACAGGTCAAAATCCCGTCTCTACTGAAAATACAAAAAATTAGCCAGATGTGGTGGCACATACCTGCAGTCCCAGCTACTTGGGAGGCTGAGGCAGGAGAATTGCTTGAACCCAGGAGGTGGAGGTTGCAGTGAGCCAAGATTGCGCCACTGGACTCCAGCCTAGGTGACAGAGGGAGACTCTAACTCAAAAAAAGAAGAAGTGAGCTAAGGGCTTGGGCTTTCTAGGTGGGAGACCTGGGGTTGAGCTGTGATTCTACATGAGCCCAGCCCGCCCTCAGGCCCGGCATGGTGGCCACACCCTGCAGGTGCTCTGAGAGTGCCTGCCCAGGTCCTTTCCTCCACCCGCGCCCCTTCCCAGACTGGCACGTCCTGGGTCAGTCAGTTCCCAGCTCTCCAGCACGAGAGCAGCTGCCCTGACCAGTGGGCCCACAGCGCCGCCTCTGCCTGCTTTGGGGAAAGGTGGTTACTTTGAAGCAGAAAGCCCCTGAACAGAAGCTGGCATGCAGGTAACTGATGAGGGAGTCCTGCCGCACTGGCACTGACGTGGGCCTGGCGTCCAGGAGCCATCCCCGTCTCGAGCCGAACGCTGGCTGTGACATGCTCTGGGCCTGCCCTCTCCAGGACCTCCTGTTACTTTAGAGCTCACTCAGTGCCATTGGGGGCTTTCTGTGTTTGTTTTCTTCCTGGAGCGCTAAGTATGTTTTCCCAGGCAGCGAAGCCTGTTGGAACTGGGGTTCCATTTGAGTGAGTCAAGCCCATTTCCTCAAGGTTCTCGCTGTGCTTGTTAAGAATCTCGGTGCACTGAGGTCTGTTGGTTCCGAGGAGGTGGGGGCGGCTGTGATTTCACCACCACGTGTGTCCTGGGTGCCACCCTCCTGGGCCAGGCGAGGGGCCAGGGAGAGTCCACACCCATTTCAGTCCAGCAAGGAGCGCCCTTTCAGGGGTGTGTCCAGAAGGTTCTGGAAAAATGCAGTTGAGGCCCACTTTCAGCATATTTGATCTGGGGCTCCATGCAGCAAAGCCATCTGGACACGCCAGGCCTGTGTGGCCCTCACGGAGCTTGCAGGGTGGGTACAGGGTGGCCACGAAGTGCCATTCAGGTAGAAGTAGAGGCACAGACACAGCGCTCTTGGTTCTGGGCTTATTTTTGCTCAGCAGCTCAGTCTCCCACCCCGTGCCAGTCACCAGCTGTCCCCCGGGGAAAGGATACAGGCAGCGCCCTGCAGCCACCCACCTCCAAGCCCGCTCACCCGGATCTGTCCCTCTGCCTGTCTTCCTTCACTGCAGTACTTTAAGAAGCAGAAGCGGCTCATCCCAGAGAGGACGGTGTGGAAGTATTTCGTGCAGCTGTGCAGCGCCGTGGAGCACATGCACTCACGCCGGGTGATGCACCGAGGTACGCGCCACCCACCAGCCGCCGCCTGGAGCCCGGGGGCCCCAGAAGCCCCAGGAAGACGCATCCCCTTGGCTCCTCCAGGGTCCTCGGGCAGCCCCTTGAGGAAGTCAGACCACTCTGTTTTCCCAGGCAGGGTACTGTCCAGCCACCACCCACTCGTGTCAGTGTCCTCCCCGAGGTGGAGATGACATGAGCCCTAGGGGGCAGGGGCCCCGCTTGACACACCACCTGCAGTTCCTAACAGCAGCCTGGGAGGGAGGTCGGGGAAGCCTTGCACAGAGGGGACTTTGGTAGGGGCTTTGCCATCTCAGCGGGATTTGGCTGCACTGAGAAGGAGAGGCACCAGAGAGGGGCATTTCCACAGTAGACGTCATTCCAAGTGGTAAAAAGGAGCCTTCTGGGTGCCTGGCAGGATGCAGAGTCCTCTGGGTAGGCTGACACCTGTGTTCCTTTACTCTACCTGTATCTTTCAGTGTCTGCTGTACTTGAGACCCTGCCCTTGCTAGGGGGGTACAGTGCAGGGCGTCCCACTGAGCACTTCATTACACAGACTCCCCTGAGGGCCTCCTGTGTGAGGCACTGTTCTAGGCACAGAGGATACAGCTGTAACAGGAGCACAGAAACCCCTGCCCTCTACACCCTCGCAGCAGCTCTGTGAGGTTGGTGAAGGGAGACCCATTTTACAGGTGAAGACACTGAGGCTCAGAAACGGTTAATTTCTGGAGATTCCACAGCCAGAGCCAGGGAGTAGGACCTGGGCTGGGCCTCACCTCACCTGGAGCTCCCCTTCCTCTCGCCCTGCCCCACCTACTGCAAGCTTCCTGCCCCACACCAACCTCCTTCTCCTCACCCCACAGACATCAAGCCTGCCAACGTGTTCATCACAGCCACGGGTGTTGTGAAGCTTGGTGACCTTGGTCTGGGCCGCTTCTTCAGCTCTGAGACCACCGCAGCCCACTCCCTAGGTAAGGGGGGCCTGTGTGTGCCCAGCAGCCCCCAGTGGTCCTAGAGACTGTGCAGGGAGACGAAAGCATTCTCTCCACGTGCCTTTGGTCAGTTTGTGCAGGAAGATGCCATCTTGAAGCCTCAGAGTTTCTCATCTCTTCAGGACAGTGACCCAGAAGGGAGTCAGCTGTGGCCAGAGGAGGCTGGCTGGGGCTTCCTGCACCATCTGATCACCATCTGGGCCTTGCGAGAGAAGCTGACTGAGCCAGTTGCTTGGAGTGGGAGATGTGTCTGTTGAAGGGCAGTCATCCTCCCATTGCTGTGAGTGTCCCATTCACAGGCAGCACCCCGGGTCCATCCCTTCTGGAGGGTGACGTTTGTGCTGTTCCTAGTTTTTGGCTTTTAAACTGGCAGTTTAGAAGCTGTGGGATGAGGTGCCTGCCAGGGAGGAGGTGACATTGTAGCTGGACCATAAAGGGTGACCAGGTGCTGTTGGGACAGGGAAGGAGGGAGCAGCGTTCCAGGAAAGAGTGGGTGAGCCTCGGTGTGCGGCTGAGCTTAGCTTGGCCAGGGTCCTTGCAGGAGCGGCAAGAAAGGTGGGCCGGGGCTTGAACGTCGAGCTCAGTGGGCTGGACCCCACTCTAGGGGTCAGGGGTTGCTAAAAGACTGGACTTGGGAAGAGACTTGGTCACATGTGTGTTTTGGGGACATGTGAAGCAGTGGCAAGCTTCAGAATCCATACACTGGGTATGGAAGCAAGTGTGACAGCTGGAATGCTGGATGATGGAGGATCTTTCATTTAATGAGAACATAGGACCCAGGACAGCCCCCCTGCCTGCAGTGGAATTCAGGAACAGAGTCTCCTATGCATTACTCCTGGGCTGTCTGGGTTTCACCACAGCCGTCTGTGGGAACCTTTCCCAGAGGCCCATGGAGTAGGGGAGGACCCTGCTTTCTCAGGGCTAGTTCTTGGCTTTCTGAGGTACGTTTGCAGAAGAAGATGTCCCAGGCCCACCCCGTGTGCTGCCCCCGCCAGCATCTACTTCCCCAGGAGGGAGCTGGGCCCCAGGAGCTGCTGGCTGCCTCCCTGAACACCGACCCATTCCAGCCCATTTCCACCCCACTCCATGGCTCAGGCCAGGATGTCTCCCATCCCCAGACCCCAAGTGCCTGCAGCAAGCTGGGTGTGAGAGCAGCATTGTCTGGGCAGAGGCACTTTCTGGAAGTCACACTTGCCTATGGAAAGTGTCACTGTTCACACGGGTTCCAGTGAGACTCTCAGTGCGTCGCACACAATTAGGAGAAATGTACAAACCTAAAGACCAGCAGCTCCTAGCAGCTGATGGAGCCAGTGCGGGTGGCAGGGAGGGTGTTGTGTTGAAACTCTTATCCCCATCTGCCTGTGGGGACACCTGGCCAGGCCTCTTCCTTTAGCTCCAAAGGGAAGATGTATCAGGAACGCCCCCCTTGGGAGTATGGGACACTCCACTCATACCCTTGACAGCCCCAGGCATCCAGAGGCTCCTTCCGTGTAGCAGACGAAGGATCTGAAATCCAGGCACTCGAGAGATTCTTCCGAGGTCACAGCAGCAGGCCTCTCTTTCCAGAACCCACGCTGCTTCCTGGAAATGAGGGCCGGGGGCCCAGACAGATACTGTTGGAGCCCCCTTCAGGGACCCAGGCCACTGACTCTGTTACTGGAAGGAAGCCTCGTCTTTCCCTGTCCCCTCAAACATGGACTTTTCTTGTGAAAAACCAAGTGTTTCGTTGAGTTTGGGACTATTTACCTATCTGGTTGAAGAGCTTCGAAAAGACCAGGAAATTCAAGGGAATCTGTCAAAGAGAAGAGTTAAAACCGCTGCCTCCTGTCCCCTGTCAGTCAGCTCCGAGCCTTTCTCTGTCCCACTGCAGAGAAAAGACTGCGGCGCTCCGTCAGAGCCAGTTAGGATCGCATCATTAGGAAGGGGCAGAGATGCGTCTCATCCGACAGTGTGATGTTATTGACTTGGACTGGTGCACTTATTATATTAATGAGAAGGAATTGGAACTTGGGAGAAGGCCGCTCTCATAAGCCAGGCTCTTCCCAAGCCCTCTGAGCATGGCCAGGCTGCATGATGGGTGGAAGGAGCCCTCCTGGGGCCTGTCCCCGCTCCAGGCTGTGTGCCCAGCACCCAGGAGATGTCCAATAAGCTGAGGACTGCACGGGGCTGAGCAAGTCCCTGCTAGCAGGACAAGCTCCCAGAACCAAGGCCTGTACTGCCAGGTTTCAGGATGGTGACAGTGCTGAGCCAAAGCCCAGGACCTGGGTGTGTCTCCAAGATACAGGAAAGACCCCTTCCACCAAGCTAAGTCTCGCGCACACATTTGCTCAGGCAAGAGACTGAACTAATTATCATCGCATGGTGACTCAGGAGGGACATAGGGGCCAGGGCCACCTCACACCCTGTGCGTGGGAATGAATTATGCATCCGCCACATCTCATGTGCACCTACTACGTGGGGATGCTGTGGTGGCAGCCACGTTGCCCTGGCAACCACCTCGTCTCCTAAGACCGCTGACCCAAGAGCTGGGCTTATGCAAATCTGGTCTCCTCTCCCCTCCCCCCTCCTTGGACCCCCTCCCCGCCTCTGTATTTGCTAACACGAGGCTGGCATGAAAGGGCATTAGTCAGTGCCATGGTCGGGCTGACAGGTGCGGTACCCAGCGGTGGCAGAGCGGCTGCCTCGGTGTCAGAAATAGGAGCCGTAATTAGAGCGCGGAACAGAATGAGCGTCAGGCGAATTACCAGGCAGCAGATCATATTTGTCAGGAAGGATTGCATACATAAAAATTAAGTGACAGTACACGCTGGCGTAATGCAGGAAAAATGAAAGATTTGCCTATACACAGCTCACAAGCGACAAGCAAGTGTCTCGCTCCGAGCAACGGCAGCAGCTGCAAGACAAATCACGGGGCTGGGAGAGCAGGCGGGCAGGCCTGGCTCCTCAGCTCTAGTGACAGGGCAGTCTTGGTGACAGGCAGCCACGGGTGACAGGGGCAGGAAGGGCGGCTGGTCACACCCAGGCCTAGGCAGGGCCCATGCCGCCTCTCAGGGGCTGGGGGAGCAGGTCTGGTTGGGGGTGACCCTGTCAGGTACTCGAGGTCAGGGCCCCGCCAGGTCTCCTGGGGCTTAGCCTGGCCCTGAGGCATAAATCCCTTCCCCCTCCTTCCTTCAGCCAACTGCCTGGCCCTGGGCTGGGTGCTGGGGATATGTGATTATGCAGCTTCTGAGGGGACAGACACGGTCCAGGCCAAGTGGCATGGTGAGGGGACAGGTGGGACCGCCTATTGGGGCCCACTGTGGGTGGGCAGGGCAGGTGCTGGGGGTGATTCTAAACAGAGCCCCAGGGAGCCCAGGCCGGCCCCACCCCTCCCAGAGCTGCCCTCACTTCATTTCTCTGTAGCCACTGAACTCACTGCAAAGGTGAGTTAACAGCAGACAAAAAACAGTTTAAAAAACATTCTTTTGTGGGCTGGGTATGGTGGCTCTCACCTGTGATCTCAGCACTCTGGGAAGCCGAGGCAGGCAGATCACTTGAGCTCAGGAGTTTGAGACCAGCCTGGCCAATGTGATATAAGCTCACCTCTACTAAAAATTGCAAAAAAAATAAGCCGAGCATGGTGGTGCATGCCTGTAATCCCAGCTACTCAAGAGGCCGAGGCAGGAGAATCACTTGAACCCAGGAGGTGGAGATTGCTGTGAGCCAGGATGGCACCACTGCACTCCAGCCTGGCCAAGTGACTGTCTCAAAAAAAACCATTTTGCTCATTTTTCTTTTTTGTAAATCATCACAAGGCTTATTATCCCATTTTATAGATGAAGAAACTGAGGTGCAGGGAAGTAAGAGAGACTGCGTCCCTGTGGTCGCCCAGTGGGCAGGTACCAGAGCCCCATAGGAAAACAGCTCAACTCCAAGAACCCTTCTCCAGGCACCAGCCTGCAGCTTGGACAGGGAGGGCTTGGGCTGTGGGTGCCCAGGGAAGGGGTCCAGAGAGGATCCCCAGCGAGACCTCGGGTGCAAGCAACATCCAGAGCTCTGAGCACTGGCTCCCTCGAGGAAAAGCCCACCTGACTTGGCCAGCAGCAGTTGTTGGTGAGGGACCTGGAGCTCATCCTGGGCCCCACAGGGACGGACAGAGCCTCGTCTCGTGGTGGGTGTCAGCACCGCCTTGCAGGGGATCATGCCATGCTGTGATACATCTGCGCCCAGGCCTGGCACGGGGGCCCTTGTGGAACATTTGCTGAGTGGATGAATGACCTTCATGGCCAGGCATCCTGTGGACACTCATCAGTGCAGGCACCAAGGGCCATGCAGATGTGTCCCAGGCCGCCTCCTGCCCCAGCCCCACCCTGTGTCCCATCCCAGCCATGCAGGACGCCTGAGAATGGTCTTGCCAGGCCCCCAGGCCCAGAATCCCTGGCTCAGCAGATGGCTCTCAGGCCTGAGTTTGAGCTGAAGTTCTGAGCACTAATCCTTGGGTAGCAGTCATGGGTCTGCCACATTACTGGCATTTTCAGGGGCACAAACTGTTGAGGAGAGGTGAACTGATGCCTGAGATGGGAGGGAGGAGTGGAACAGGCTTTAAGAGGCCAGCAAGTGAGGAGTCAATTTGGACCTTGGGTGTAAACTCCAGCTCTTTGGTTCATTCATTCACCCATCCATTCGATGAGGACCTGTGCTGAGCCGGGCTGCTCCCTGGGGAGGCCGGCTTGGCCCCTGCCTTCACGGAAGATGCCTCCTGTTAGGAGAATCCATTTCGTCTTCACCATGAACCAAATGTTCCAGCAATCATTTCTCATTTTCCAGAGAGGGAAACCAAGTCTCCAGAGGTTGGGGGGACCTTCTATTTTCCTGATAGGGAGACCGAGGCTGAGAGAGAGTTTCTCTTCTCAGCCAGGGAGTGGAGGAAGCAGGGCCAGCCTGCTGGCTCCAGCTCCACATCACTGCTGTCCCCACCTGCCCCTGCCTGTCCCATGGAG